AAAGGTTCTCAGCAGAGGTCGCCCCAAGATTCCATTGAAGCCGTGGGCAGTCCACGACCAAAATCGTAACCCTAGTCACCTCGTCGTAGTCGCCGACGTGACTGGTAGCTGATTGTTCCGCTGGGGATCAGGTGGTCCCCTGTAAAACCGTCAGAGGCATCGAGGCTGGCTTCAGTCGGCCTCGACCAGTTCATTCTATCGAAGCGGACTTAAACAAGATTTTCACAGTGCTTCCGTTTCTACAAGCATTCTGCAGACTTATGACACCCTATCAGGGGCGTTGTCACCAGAGCATCCTCATGAGGATGGTGCAAGCGAGCTGCCTCTTTCTCGCAGAAGGTGATTGGTTCCTCCTTTCTGGCTTTTTGAGGTCGCTGCGAAGTGTTCATTACCCTGATCGGGTCATGTGCGCTTCGCGGGCATACCTTTCCTGCGCTCCTCGCATGTTTCCCCGAGGTGCGGACCTCCAAAATTTATTTTACACTACTGTACCCGCTGCGATCACGACGCTTTCTTTCGCTCCCCTTGATTTTCTTTGGGGAGTCATCAATGTACTCCTTGAAGTACTCCTTCTTGATGAGCTCTTCGATAGCCTGTTAAGCTCGGCATTCATCAGTGAAATGCCCATTATCCCGATGGTAACGGCAGTATTTTTTGCTGTTTCACCGTAGTAGGGATTTTCATGGGTTCGGGCTCACCGAGCAGGTTGGCCTCCTCGAATTTTATCGAGGATTGCAGATATGGACACATTCAGCGGAGTTGTATTGATGTCCGTCGCGGTCGCAACGAGGAACAGGAGCATAGGACGTTTTCTGCTTGTAGCGGGGCTTATTCCCTTTTCGCTGATCGTCAATGTCTCCTTTGCAATCAGCTCGCTATTATCTCCTCGACCAGGCATACTGCTGGAAGTGCTGTGATCGCGACGGCAGAGTGCCGCCAATAATTCTCTATTCGGAGATACTTTTCTGCCAGGTTGTAGAATCTGGTAGAGAAATATCGTCCCAGCCTGCAGTTCCTTCCACAGGTCGTTTGCGGCGAACTCCGCTATTATAAGAGTTTGGATGGACTATTCTGGAGCATGAGCCACCTTGTTGAGTCCCTGTGGAAGCGATCAATGTAAGACTGCAGGGATTCGTCTCTCTCTTGCCTTATGTTGCTGAGGTAGCTCAAAGGCATTGAGAACTTCCGATTGGCTTGGAAATGCGGCAGGAACGTCGTGCCCATCTGAGGCCACGAACTGATCGATCCCGCTGGGAGCGACCTTAACCACCGCTTGGCGTGAGAAGTCAGCGTCACGGCCAAACAATGGCATTTTGCAAGGTTCGGAACCTGGTGAGCTCCATCAGGTCGTTGAACTCATATAAATGATCCTGCGGATCATAGTTTCCATCAAACACGCCGCATATTGGCATTCTGAACCCTGGTGAAGTGGAGCAGCTAGCACTTTGGGAGAAAAAGGGGTGCAAGGCGACTTCCGCCTTTTCGTTTTGCTGCTCCCTTAACCTGTCCAGAGCTCGCTGCAGCTCCTCAATTTGTGGTAATGGACTAATTGGGGTTGCTTTCACCCATGCGAGCCCGACCTTCTCGGTTGCGGTTCAGGAAAGTCCAGAGGTCGGATTCCTCTTCGCCTCGGTCGCATTTCCAGCCGCACTTGACACACGCTACTAGAGGCGTGTGAAGGCGATGGATGGTCGGGGCATTTTCACGACCCTCGCGGTGGTACGAACCGCCTCGCGAGGTTGTGAAGCCACCCGCATGATAACGACGGATCGTTCTGCTGGTGGTGATAGAAATCATCGCGCCCAGCATTTTCGCTTGGGTTTGCCTGCATGTGGCATGGGACACTCGATTCCTTTTTCACTGGTCTCAGCTTTGCCGACACCCTGCTTGGGGCGCCTTTGTTATCGCTGGTCTTGGGAGCCCGTAGGCTTACTTTTTGCCACTTGCTTACCCTTGCGCCTACCGCTGCATGCTCGCGGCACGGGCTATCGCCCTTGCGGCACTTTCGGGCTACTTGCAGGCGTCTTTGGCGGTTGTACCACTCTGGCTGTCGTAGATGACATCCTTGGTCCAAACGGTCCAACCTCTGGTTGATCGTCTGGAGAGTATTGTCGAACCTCTCTAGTAGCTTCTGAGGGCAGGGTCCAGTTGCGGAGCTGCCGGGATACCCAACAGTATTTTGCGAAACGGGAGGTATGTTGGAAAGGTTTCCCTCTGGGTTAGGGGGACTCCTTCCACGCTGGTTGACCTGCCCAGGCTCAGATTGGCGGGCCATTTGTTGCTGTAAGACCAGTAGGTCAAAGATTCTCCTGATGAAGGGTACAACTAATCGACCCTCCTTCTAGCGCCAAACTGTTGATGCTGGATTTGGCACCAACTAATTGTCACGTGCGTAACTTTGATTGGCTAAGAAACACACGTGATAACGATATAGAAAGTGAAATAAATGCAAAGAAGCTTTTAAAGTGGTTCGGATGCAAGGTAGCAAGTCCTACATCCACTGATTGTGTATTGATATTAGTGTGGGTCAGGTCGCAACAGCGGACTGACTTACAGAAGAGTTATGAAAAGTAAATGTGTTTACAGGAGAGAGAGAGAGTTTCTCAATGTAAAAATGGCCAATCCCCTTATGAAGGGTCTTCTTCATTTTATATCAAACTGAAGCGTGTAATTATCATTAATCCATGGGTTGGTGTGATTGTCAGGATATATCCGGCTTTATGTCCCTTGCTCTCTTCCAAGGCTGATTTCGCACGATTTATTGCAGGGGAAAGGGACACGTGTGAGCTCCATATCATTTGGCAGGCCTGACGTGTGCTTGTTGCTCTAACGGGAGCAGGTTACTCTTCACGTGACTTTCCCACGTCAGCCCTTATCTTCCCAGGCATAACACAATTAATTGAGCTCAAAATATTTTCATATATAAAGTGTTAATAATTTATCAAGCTAAGTGGATTTTCTGCCAAATTGAATAGTTACACTCACTCGGTTTTTATTTTGCTAAATCCAATTGATTTGGTTAAGCTTTTTTAGAGTAATAAACCAGATTAATTACATGATAGTTCCTATGGTTTTGATTCACTAACAGTCAAGTACACTTTTATTTTTTAACTTTCAATATACTCTTTACTCACAAACTTAATGTAAATTGACTGATGAAGGGCAAATCCAACTTTTCATAACTAAATATATTTTTTAAATATAAAAAGCTATTTAAAGGAGGTTGAATTTTTATTTTTATTTCTTAATCGAACCAGTTTTTCGGTTCATAAATTTTCCTAAACCAAAACCAAACCGTTAAAGGGAAAACTGGTTTTCTGGTTAACCGAAAAACCAGTTAATCGGTTAGTAAAAACCGGTTAACCGGTTTTAAACCAGTTTTTCCTTTAATTTATTTTTTATTTTGAGAGGGAAGAGAAAAGTGAAAATTGGCGAGAACTGGGGATAAATGTGTGTGTTTGTGTGAAAAAAAAAAGAGGAGAAATGTATAAAGGATGAAGAGTAAAGAGAAAAGGATTTGGGGATTTAGGGTTTTTAATTTTAAAGTGAAAACTGGTTTTATAAACCAATTTAGTTAATTGGTTTTAAAATTTCTTTAAATCGGTAACTAAACCGAATTTCCAGTTTGTGTATTTTCTTGAACCGAAACCGAACCAGTTTTTTAGATAACAGAAAAACCGGTTCGATTCGGTTTTTATATTTTTTTAAACACCCATAGTTGTTGATGTTCACTTTTGTCGAAGAGGATCAATGACACAATTAAGGCCTTATTAGGGTACAAAACCATAAATCAAGCTCCAAGACTCCACTTTAAACCCAAATGATTGCTTCTTGGGACCTCGATAAAACCCATGATATTCTTTAAATGTAAGCCGAAGACATCCTCCAATGCAAGCCCATGACGTTTTCTAAAGTAAGCCGAGGAGTTTCTCTAATGTAAGCTCACGACACTCTCAAAAGTAAACTCATAATGTTCTCTATTCTCTAATGTAAGTCTACGACACTTTCAAAGATAAATCCACGACACTTTCAAAGATAAGTCCACGACGTTCTCTAATGTAAACCCACGACATTCTCAAAGGGAAGTCTACGATAGTCTAATTAAACTCACAACACTTTCAAATATAAACTAATTAAACTCACGACACTTTCATGGCAATTACCAATACCTAATGGGGTTTATCTGATTTTCTTAATAAAAGTTATCGGCATCCCTAATTAAGCCTCAAAATAGTGTATAATCATTTCTTATATCTTGGTTGATAGCCTAATAGCACTATGTAATTAGATATCTATATTTCTTATATTTTAAAATATCTTTTGCTTGATATAATTTTAAGAGTTAAAAGCATCAACCGCCTTCAGATTTGATGTAATAACAAAAATCTATTTAAAAATTTCCCAAAAAAACAAAAACTTGTGTGTCATTAGTAAACCGGTAGTGAGCCTTTAGAATGTACATTATTATAAATATATAACATTTACTGAAATTGCTTTTTTTTACTGTTTATTTTAACACAAAAACCTTAAAGTAGAGAGGTTATTATATATATTTTTTAGAACTTTTATTATTTAATCAATCTGTAGGAAAATTAAGATCATTATCTCAAATTCTTTTTGCATAAAAAGCAACTTTGCCACCTACTGCCACTAAATCGCCCTCCCAAGTCAAGTGGACTACTTGTTTTCAAGGCCCTAAAGCTAAGAGGAAGAAGGATGTCTCGATGCCTTTAATTTTCTACTAATTTTTGGTAATCAACATCAACGTAAACGTGAAGGAAGCTTTACGTCTGATCATGTCATTGAGGCAAACATAATTACGCATTCAACAACAAATAATGCATCATTAGCTATACCATGCGCATTAATATTTCTTGAAAATAATGCTCAAGTGAAGGATGTCAATCAATTTAGCAACTACAATAATTATACAGCCTCTCACCTCAATATATTTATATATAGTCCTTTTCCTTTACCTCCCCTTAAGCAAAGTGCTTTTGTAAATGGAAACAACTAAGTTTCGACAAATGCTTCATTCTCTTGGGCTACTCACAATAATTGTATATTTTCAATTTAACTTGTCATCTTCACAAGGTATGCTACTAACTCAAATGATTAGGATTCTTATTGCAAATTTTCATTTTAGAAGCTTAAAAGTTGATGTTGAAAACAAGAATCTTATCTCCTCTTATTGTAGGAAATGAACTCCCCTATATGACTTCAGATGTCAAAGAAGTCTCAGGTAAGTTGTTTGATTACATTATTGTTGGGGGAGGCACCACCGGCTGCCCATTAGCTGCAACTCTATCTCAGGATTTTTCTGTGCTATTGGTGGAAAGAGGTGGCTCACCTTATGGAAATCCATTGGTCATTGATAAAAGGTACTACGGCTTCTCATTGCTTCAAACTGATGAATTCTCATCAGTTGCGCAAAGCTTCATCTCTAAGGACGGTGTTAAGAATCATAGAGGACGAGTACTTGGAGGATCATCAGCTATAAATGGCGGGTTTTATAGTCGAGCTAGTGATGCTTTCGTTGAAAGAGCTGGGTGGGATGAGGAGCTTGTAAAGGAGAGTTACGAATGGGTGGAATCTAGAGTAGTTTTTACCCCGGAGTTGACCCCATGGCAGATTGTTTTTGAATTTGGACTTCTTGAAGCAGGAATTTTACCTTACAACGGGTATAGTTTGGAACATATTGAAGGAACAAAAGTGGGTGGAAGTGTGTTTGATAATTGGGGAAAGAGACACACCTCAGCTGATCTCCTTGAGGCAGGAAATCCCAAAAATATCACTGTTCTTCTCAATGCAACTGTTAAGAATATCATCTTTCATACTAATGGTAAGCCATCATCACAATGAACTGAAGAATTAATCCTATCCATCTTTAATAAGCTCACAACTTCTATATTTCAGATGATGCAGGCAAGGAACCTGAAACCAGAGCTTGGGGCATCAGGTTCATTAAGAGCGACGGTAGCTCAAATAAAATACACGAGGCATACCTCCATCGGCCTAAGAATTCAAGTCCATGGGGTGATGTTATTTTGTCATCAGGAGCATTAGGCAGTCCCCAAATCCTGTTGTTAAGCGGCATTGGACCTCAGGAACACCTGAAGGACTTCGATATTCCACTCATTCAACACTTAAAAGGGGTTGGACAAGGGATGCAAGACAATCCCTGCATTGCCCTCTTGGTAGATAAAATGCCAATGAATCGGCTACCAGAGCCACCTCAAGTTGTGGGCATAGCAGATGGCCTCAGGTTCATAATTGAGGCCGGAGTTGCACCCATTAGCTTCAATGCATCGAGGATGCCAATTGCTGCCAAGATTGCATTTCCAGCATCGAAAGGAAAGCTTGAATTGCAAAGTACAGACCCCAAGCAAAACCCTTCAGTAGAATTCAATTATCTAGAGAAGGACAAGGACATGAACCAATGTGTAAAGATGGCTGAACTGCTTGAAAGGGTGGCAAAGTCTGAATCAATTGCTCTGTTCCTTGGACTTAAACCTCAAGAAAAATTGATGTCAAGTACTGATGAGTTGAGAAAATTATGCAAAAACAACGTGAGGACTTATTACCATTATCATGGGGGTTGTGCAATTGGATCAGTTGTTGACGATGATTACAAAGTGTACAGTGTTAATGGATTGAGAGTAATTGATGGATCAACTTTTCAAGAATCACCGGGCACAAATCCAATGGCCACTCTCATGATGCTAGGACGATATCAAGGGATCAAATTACTCCGACAAAGGAGAGATGCTTCTTCAAATTTGTAACCAACAAAATCCTTTCTTGTAACTTTTATATGTTTATCAGTTTGAATAGATGAATAGATTTTTGTGAATTTTGCAACATAATTACTCATCAATTCATCATGTCACTCTTATAATTTTCAATCTAATTGCAAGATATTGCCAAAAGAAATGCGACAAATCGATCCAATATTTCTAAACATATGCAAGATTATAGCTGTACATATTATAGAAGAGGTGGAAAACAAAAAATATATATATATAAATATCTTACAAAAATTGATTTAATTTTCCGATCCCTGATCGGGCATAGAACTTGGGGAAGAAGAGACATCAGCAGACTCAGAATCTGCTGCAGGAGAAGTTTGATTAGATTCAGGATCAGAATTCCCACTTCTCCTACCACTATTAAAAGAAAAGCTGACCCAAACCTCTCTCCTTTGCTCATCTCTCTTGAAACCAATTTCATCTTCATCAACAGGCATCTTGTATCTACAAACAGGACACGACCCATGAATCCCAAGCCACTTCTCTATACACTTAGCGTGAAACCTATGCTTACATGGCATCTCTTTCCCCATCTCACCAACCTCATACTCTTCTAAACACACTACACACTCACCCACTTCCCCTTCTTTTTCATCTTCACTATCACCAATCTTGAAACTCCGCATAGCCTCCACAGACGCCTTGGAAGCCGGCGGTTGACCATCTTTGGATGCTAAGTTCCTCATCAAAGAATCCAAACTTGACGTTCCTTCAATCACCACCATTCCTTGAGTCAAAGGGTTAATTAGAATAATTCTCTCACTCGAATTCGTACTTGTTTCTTGATCTGTGTGTTCAGGATTACTCTCTGTCGTGGAGATGTTACCCGTGAAACCCAAAATAAAGGGAAGAAACAAAGACATATCTCTGTGCCTCAAGAGTCGCTCAAACAAAGAAGAAATCTCAGGAGTTTCAGCTTCAGAGGCCATGGCAGCAAGCGAAAGAGCAGAGAAGTGAAGAAAGCGCGCAGAGAAATCTGAATAATTGAATAATGGAATTTTGGGGAGAGAATTGGAAAGGAGATATTAGGTAGCCCACAGGAAGCGAGGAAGGTTGTGGAAAGATCTGGAATAATAGAAGATTCACTGTTGATGATTATCTCATACAAAAATTGCCGTCTTTTTCACTTGAGAGAAGATATTATTGGGGCAGTATTGGACACCTGTAACGTATGAGTATAAGCAATTAAGCTGCATAAGCACTGTTCTTTCCTTTTTTTATTTTTTATTTTTTTCATTTATTTTCTTTTATAATTTTATTGGTCCAACTAAAACAATAATAATAAATTACAGGAGAAATACAAGATACACAAAAACTCTTACAAAAAACTTTTATATGAAATGACGTGATAATTATCACATCATCAATTTATAAAAAAAAAATATTAATATAAAATTAGTGGTGTGACAGTTGCTACTTCTATTCCGTTCTACCGCTTGCATAACTCAAAAACTCTAAACTTTTCTACTCTATAAATTCATTATTCTAATTTTTTAAATGATTATTGAGAATTTTCATTATCTTTTTATATATATACATAAATGTAACTAGCCCATATTGTTTTATTTTCAAATGAATCCATATTTCCCTTTAAAAAGACATAAAGATATAATATCTTAGGAGATTTTCAAACTTTTCATGGCATTGGCATCTCATAGTCGAACTAAATTGTGAGGATATATTTGTCATTGGAGCGGAATTATGTCCCTTTATTGTTTGTAAAAATGCAGGACTGAGGCCTCTGATTTGCACACAACTTGTTTGATAAAATACCACAACGAGAAAACTTGCTGCCTGTTTAACTAATTGAATACATATGGATTCAGCTTAATGCAATTGAATGGTCCTTCTCCAGTTTTCTTCTTATTGAGTATTGTTATATATGTTGAGTATGGCTTTCATGAAACCTTCTGCACTGCCGTTCAATACATGCGATTTCTTTGGAGCCCATTCAAAAGCATTCCACTTCTTCCCCAGTCAAAGTAAAAGTAAGTAAACAATTTTCCCTTTTTTTTTTTTTTTAATCCAAATGTATCTTTAAACATTGTAGAAAACGCACGCAAATCGTGGTTTATGTATAGAGTTTGTAGAGACCCTTTTAGCATGTGACTATTGTTCTTTGCATATATTTTTTGCATTCTGGATTGACTTCGAATCTCTTAATGTTACGAAGGTTTCATTATTAAGCCATTAGTGGTGGAAGCAAGGGCAAATGCTCGAAAGGAAAGTGCAAAAATCCGAAACAGGAGGATACAAAAGAAGGTAATTATCCTCTATTTTTTTTGTTCTGTATACCTTTTCTTTATTTCATTTTTATTACAAGCTGGCGAGAATTTTAGAATGGCTTATGCTTCAATAATAAGCATTGTTGAACTTCCATGAGCATGGATAAAATATTTTTTAGAATGGGTAATGCTCCAATTATTAGCATTGTTGAACTTTAATGTGCATGGATAAACTATTTTTGCTCGAGTATATTTGGTTTAGTTTCAAGCTTCTTACATGACATGTTTCTTATGTCAAACTCATGCATTTCTTCAGGATCAATTTCATTATGAAAAAGATATTCTTATGTAATTTTAATATGCAACGGTTATCATTTTGTGATAAAAGTTCCTGCATCTCAGTAATGGAATTACATATTGCTTAACAATGTGATGTTCACGGTGAATTATGAGTAACAACAGAATCCCTGTCCAGCTGATTGGTTATATGGCAGTTTGTCAGTGAGATGAAATTGGACAATCCATCTTTTATTTCAGGGATATGCGTCATGAAATAATTTTAATTACTTAGCTGTTCCATCAATGTGATGATTTTCTAATGTCTTTGACAGTTTAATGGCACACCTACAAAACCTAGGCTTTCAGTATTCTGCTCGGATAAGCAGCTATATGCTATGCTGGTAGATGACCAAAACAAGAAGTGTTTGTTTTATGGAAGCACTCTGCAGAAATCTATTAGAAGCAATCCATCCTGGACAACAATTGTAAGCAATCCATCAAGTATTAAATTTTTTGCTTATGGAGAAAAATCTTGAGCAGTGGTCACTGCTAAATTATGGCTACCCTCTTTTTTTGCCCTTTTTGGAATCTCATTGGTGGAGCTCTTCATGTTGCCTTCACAGGAAACCGCTGAATGTGTTGGTGAAGAGCTTATCCAAACTTGTATTGATCTTAACATTAATGAAATATCATCCTATGATCGCAATGGTTGTGCTCGCGGAGCGAGAATGCAAGCGTTTGAGATTGCAATATCTCATCATGGGTTTTTGCCAGAATAGATCTGCATCTAATTCTTTTTTAACCTTGAGATTGCAATATTTCTTGTGATGTAGAAACTGGGTTTGGCAGAATTTGCAAACTGTGGTGCATTAGTATCGTCATCAAATTCCTGGCTACAAAAGAAGTTCCCTCTGCCTATAATCTGCCAAAGTCTACTGGTTTTCTGCATTATACTCTGTGTTGTCAATAAAATAGCCAGTGCATGTTGGCTGTAGGTGGTTGCAGGTGTACTAGTAAGTTACTAACAGTTTTAAGTTTTACATTTCTATATCCTTTGGAATATGTATGATTAGATGTGGTTATGGTCCATATAAATTTATTATTTGCGTCAGTCATTAGAAGTTTTGTGCTAATTTCTTGAGTCTGTATGTATAGGACTGCTGGAATGAAATTATGCAGAATTTTCTTTTTGGTTTCTAACAGGATAGATTCCCCTGTGATCTATTTTGTCAAGACTCAAAATTGGTGCTAAAATGAAGAAAGTAATTTGTTTCCGTTCTTCCAATATGATCTGCATTGAAAGAATTGGTTCCAAGGAATATATGATAATGGTTTAGAGAATACTTTTTTGTTGGAATGTGTTTGATTAGTATGGTTCAATGATTTGTGTTGGACATTGTCGAATAATAGTTATGAAGCATTAAATCTTATTCAGTAAATTCATTCTCTGTTATGTGCATTCATATCAGAAGGGAGAGGATTATGGGCTAAATGACAGAGGACTTATTTATTTAATATGGATGCATGTTGATTAAATTTGTAGAGAGTAGATACACTCTTTACAGCCAATCTAGAATTTCTTTTTTTAAAAAAGGTCGTGGCTTAGACAATCTAAGAGTAGTGATTTCGATTTTAAACATTTTTTATTATTCTGAAATATTTAATTTATAATTCTTTTTATTATAAAATATAAGGTCATTTTTCCCCTTCCTTTAGTTAATTTTAACACCAAAAATTGATGGTAAGTGGCTAATTATAGGGGGCAATTGTCAGTTTTTTATGTTTAAGGGGTGAAAGACAATAACCCTAACGAAAAGTTAAAGGAATGGGGGGATTGTGTTAACCTAATGATATTTTCTATGCCCCTATTAATTCTTACAACTAGGGCAAAAAACTAGTGAATGGATTGAATTATATTCTATTGAAAAAGTAACATATTCTTTACCAACTAATTTTAGATAACATTTTAAGGTAATAATAATAATAAAAAAAAAAATAGATAGGAGAGAAAGAAAGATAAATCTTGTGCTAGTTTCATACGTCAAGAAAATTAGTTGTTTAAAAGGGTATGTTCGAAATAAAACAAAATAAATCAGAAAATTATTTTATTAACATATCATATTTTAAAGAAAGTTTACGAAAAAAAAAATTCAGTCTCAAATAACACCACTTTTATATTACATTAAAGTATATCAGTAGACATTAAAGTTACTATGGAGGGTTTTAATATGTTGATACATAAATCTGCATCAATTAGAGTGATCCAATCGACCTTGACAGGATCGGAACTGATGTGTGTGATTACAGATAACCAGCAATGAATGAATAATAAAATGCAATAAAGTAAATGGTAAGGGCTCCGTTTGGTTCACAATTTTGTGTTTTTGGGAAAAGTTTTCTGAAAAAAGTTAAAAAAAAGTTGAATTGGGCGGGTATTACGATGTGGGATTTATAAATTAATAAAATACCCCCCATGTTTGTTTTTTTACAAAACACCCCCTATAATAAAACATTAAGAGTTAACAAAAACACCCCCAACCCACCCTCAAATACGGACAGACTCCGGTATCGGCGCATGACCGACTGGATCTTGTCGGTCGTACACCGTTATGGCCTTTTTCGGCTAGATCCACGGTGGATCTGGCCGGCAAAGGCCAGATCTACGGCTAGATCTGGCCATTGACGGCTAGATCTGGTCATTGACGGCCAGATCTGACCGTATTTGCTAGTCAACATCAACGACGACCGTTTGTTGGCTGTCGTTACCGACTGGTTACGGCCAAAGATCTGGCTGTCAACGGCCAGATCTTTGGCCTTAGATCTGGCCTTTTCTGGCCAGATCCACCGTGGATTTGGCCGGAAAAGGGTAGATTGGCGCACTACCGGCCAGATTCAGCCGGTAGTGCACCATCCTACCAGATTCCGACCATTTTCCGGCAGTGGTGGCCGGAATCTGATAAATGTGGATTGTTAGGGTGTTTTTGCAATTTAAAAAAAAATATTTAGGGGTATTTAATTAAATTAACAAATTTAAGGGGTTTATAAAAAATTGAATAATATTGTGAGTTTTTGGGTATTTTACTGTTTAACTTTTTTGGGAATACTGAAAGTAGTATTCCCAAAACCCAACCAAACGAAGCCAAGGAGATTTTTAAAGTGGTTCGGCGAGATGAACTCCTGAGCCTACATTCATTATTTTAAAACCCGGACCGGAAGGCAACCTGTTATGCTCTCTGGGTCACGAGTCAACCGATCCAATCGGTTGGACTGGTGATGTCATCACACTAGCATGATGACGTTAGCACATAAAAAACCTCTTTTTTTTTTTCTTTTTTTAAGATTTCTATTTTTTAATAAGACAATAACAACTTAATTACTGCCCAACATGATTCAAATTCAATAACAATTCCAACATAATTTAATTATTTAACAACAATCCAAAGTTCAAATCTAAACATGATGTGTTCATCACTTCATCCATTACATATTAATGTCTTCCTCTAGTTACTTTCCCACAGTGAAGACATTTTAATGTCTTCCTTCCATTTGGATCTACACCCTCAATAACATGTGCCCATGTTATATCAGTCCTATCTCTACTAGATTGTGAAGAAGACCCAGAGCCAGATGTTAATATTGTCTATTTTTAATCTTTATCTACCTGTTAGGCTATCACACAAAAAATAACAACAATTTAGTATGTCTTTCTTAAGCCTGTTAATATATATCTAATATTATTACACTTGGTTCCATAACATTTCACCTTAAAATCTAGTTTATGATAAAATATAAATCACCTTAAATGAAGATGTCAAACTTTTTACATGGAAAATCTTTCAAGACGAAAGGAAAACCCACAAGGTAACAATAAATCATCAACACAAAAACTTTCACTAATCAAACCGTTGGATTATGAACTCTTTAATCCAAAAACAATCATTTTTCTCTCCTTTCTCTCTTTCTGCCTCTTTTTCTTCTAACTCTCAAAGAAAGCCGGTATCAACTTTATAGTTGTCATTGGTTTTGGAATTATAAGTCATTGCGCTATTAGAATGGTACCTCTTTTTCTCAAATGTGTTTTCTATTATCAACTTTATAAATTAAAATTAATGTATCTGATTTATGCAATATAATACTTTCACATTCATTTACCACCGTCAGATATGCCTTTGCACTGCAAATCCTTTTCCAAGCAATCTCTACTTAATTATAAATAAAGCATTTTTATTAATACCCGCCTAAGAGTCACATTGTCATAACACAAAATCTTCTTAATCTTCTCGAGATTCTTCACATCTAACTCACATCTAGAAAGGCACTTTGGGTGATGAAACCTTGCATCATAAAAGCTTCTGAAAATAATAATACAAATTACAGCATTTTATAGTCTACTGCAAAAACTCTCTCAGATCAGTCACATAACCAGTCAAAGCAGATGCTGCAGCCGTATATGGTGAAGCCAGATAGATCTGGCCTTCCTTGTGTCACATTGTCACAATATTATAAGGACTATTTAAATTAAAAATAAACAGTATATACCCAAGCAGAATCCATAATTCATCAACAAATGAAAAACTCTACAACATTAAACAAAAGCTACTCATTAAGATAACTACGATAAAGTGGCAGTAAGTGCATATGCAATGGCAAAGGGAAAATACAATTGTGACTTCACAAGTAACACATAAAACTTAGAAACCCAATTATCGATACAAGAATTAATTCAACAATCATACAGGAGATGTGAGATGTTATCAAAATTCCAACGCATGAAATAGGGGCTGAAGGTTAACAATGAGTGTCTATAAAAACAGGAAAATTATGAACCAACTGTGCAGGAAATTGAAAAGAGAAATAAAGCTTTGAAGTTCTGGAAAACAGTAGTCTCATAAATCAGATGAGAAACAGACAGGGCACAAGCTAATTCACCAAAATATTTATACAAAACCACCCAACAAAGAACTATTCTGCTGTAATTGCATATACATTATTCTGCTGTAATTGCAACTATCAGTGGACCTCTAAAAACTAACCCACAAATGCATATACATTATTATGATAAATGCATTAATAAAACATGTTGAAAAACGAAATGGAGCTGTCGTGAATGGTGTGCTTTTTACCTGGATCGTTGATGAGAGAAGGAATGGAGCTGTCATCGTCGTCGTCGATTTCCAGTAAGGAATGAAGCTGTCATCGTCGATTTCCAGCGAGGGAGGAAGGCTTCGTCGCGATTTCAGAGAGTTGAGTTGCGATCGATTTCAGCGAGGAATGGTTGCGATTTCATTGAGACTAAGTTTTGATTTGTGTGGGATTTTAGATTTTCGCAATTTCATTAAAAAAAGATTCAGAATATTTTGTGTGTAGAGAAAGGAGAAACTGTGAAATGAGAGAAAGTGAGAAATTAGGGACTTTTTTCCCTTTTCAGCGTTGGACCGGTTTTTCTAGCGGTCCGGTTAGACCGGCGGTTTGCACTGTTCATGGGGTCCATTGACGGGTTAAAGCTAGTTATTGCGCAATACCGGGTTTTCTATTGACTCGAACCAGACACGTGACCAGTTCCAGTTCGATCCAGCTTTTAAAACAATGCCTACATCCACTGTTTTTGTATTTGCTGTCAGAGCTTACAATGATAATCCTAAAAATATTTTCTAACCCCTTTCTCATCGTTGGAGAGTGTTTATATACAGAGTTTGTATAAAGAAAAGAGCGAAAATAAAGGGATTACAATTAAGTTTGAAATGCAACTCCGATATTCTCGCGATTGGGCGATGAGATTACGCAAAGATTGTTATCGGTCTAATCCTTCACGAGATATCAGGGATCTGAGGTTATCTACAACTTGGTTGAACAACTGCAAATATTGGTTGTGACTAGCTTGTGCTAGGTCGAGCTACAACTCGACAAGCTTATGCTGGGTCAGACAATCGGTAGAGTTGAGCTGATCTAGATCGAGCTATTACCTCGCAATTCTCCCAGCTTGATGGAAAATCACATACAACATCTTCCTCCTAGTGTTCGATGCTCATTTTGAGCTTCGAAGACTATTGCTCGACTTGATATCAAGCTCGACATTATTAGTAGGGCATTGAATGCAGATTCGATCGAGCTTCGAGAGTCAGACTCATGCTCAGCTGACATACTCCACAGTTGGACTTTTTCTCTTCTACGACACTCTTGACAAACTCAGAATTTGAAAATGAAGGATAGTTGTGTAAATTTCACGTAGTCATGTCCCATTAAATGCAGCAGCCTTT